CTTATAACATGGGTTAAGAGCTGATTTTCCATGAACAGTTTCATGGAACTGTTCACAAATGCAAGAATGTGACTGCCTTAGATACAATCAAATGTTCTTAATATTCAGGGGGATAACAATGAGCTTTTGACACTGGTAGGTTTAATCTAGTATTAGATCACAGAATATACATGTTTTAATTCCATGGAAGATGAAAGAGGAAGAAAACTGGGATGGAAACCTATGGTAATTTTTAACAACTGTATTGTTTTCTTTTAATTAACATTAAAATATAAAAATTAAAATTAAAAATTAAATTTAAATTAAATTTTAAAATTTAAATTTAAATAAATTAAATTTAAATTTAAAATAAAAAATAAAAAATAAAAGTATTTATTTTTCAGCGTACCTTTATTGCAGAGTTCTTGCTTTACTGTCAAGTAAAGCAATTTTAGAGTAGCTTTATAATCACAGGTAATTTTATAATAGTAGGTATTATCAATATAATTATTTAATTATTGTCAACACTCTTCCTAACCACTAGTACCTTCTTAAAGTAAAAGTATTTGAAAAAGCATTTTGATTTCTTGGTTTTGATTTCATATTGTCACAGTTTTAATTGTTCTTATATAGAAAACCAATGTTGTCTTTGCGTTCTGACAGTATAAACAAAGCAACAAAAGTATGCTATTATTTAACCATTCCATTACAGTCTTGGGGAAAAAAAACCCTGAAAATTTACTAAAAGAGACCAATTAGTTGACAAGCTAGACTTTTCACTGGTATGAACTCAAGCTCTTAAAATATTGATCATAGCAAATATAAGTGAATAAATAAGATACCAAGTGATGATAATTCACTACGGCAAGCTTTGTGTCTTCCAAAATAAACCACAGTTTGTTACAAAATGCCTTGTTTTATTAGTTGTAAATTCTTAATCTACCAAATGGGAATGAAAATGTGTCTTACAAAGGGTACCACAGGGATTTAGTTTGTTAATTGGTATGTATAAAGGTCCTTTGAAAACCACAAATCACTATCCCAAATATAAGGTACTATTAAGTCAAGTTATACCCCAAATTTTGATTATATGAAGTTTGAACAGTGCTTATCTTGGAGTGCAAGTAAAGGAAGGTAAATAAATGAAAATTTCTTGTCTGCCTCTTTTGTGCATGGTACTCTGCTAGGTGGTTAATATGCATTATTTTAGGCAGGTTTCTTTTTGCAGGGGAGGAGGGTGTTTGGAAATTTCTACAAAAAGAACAGAAAAGCCATTTATATTCTACCATTAAAAATTAGATTACCACCTCAACTTATTTGTTTTCAGTTTCTTTCCTTCATTTAAAAAGAAAATCTGTTACAGTTGATCTTTGGACACTATGGTTGCCGACCCCCTATGCGCTTAAAAAGTCATGTGTAACTTTGATTCCCCAAAACTTAACTGGGCAACTGCGTACTGTTGCCCAGAAGACCTGCTGATAACATAAACAGTTGGTTAACATGTATTTTGTCTGTTATATGTATTAAATATTATATTCTTACAATAAAGTAAGCTAGGGACAATAAAATGTTATTAGGGTGCCTGGATGGCTCACTTGGTTAAGTGTCTTCCTTGGGCTCAGGTCATTACCCTAGAGTCCTGGGATCAAGTCCTACATTGGGGTCCTTGCTCGGCAAGGAGTCTGCTTCTCCCTCAGCCCCTCATCCCACTTGTGCTCTCTCTTTCTCTCTCTCAAATAAATAAATTTCAAAAAAAAAAATTTTAGTTTAAAAAAGTTATTAGGAAAAATTATAAAAAACAGAAAATACATTTACAGTACTGTAGTATAAATAACCTGCATATAAGTAGATGACACAATTGAAACTCTTGTTCAGGAGTCAACTGTATTTTCTTTGGTGTATTCCATGTTCACTTTAAATGTTCAAACTATGAAAAATTATGCAAGCAAAATGAAAACCTTTATCCTAAATAAAGGATACTTTTGCTATAAAAGATTTAATTAGCACTCAGATTTTTTTGAAGATTTATTTATTTTAGAGTGAGAGAGATAGAGGAAGGGGGAGAGGCAGACAGAGAGGGAAAGAGAAATTCTCTGGCAGACTCCATGCTGAGTGAAGAGCCAGACTCAGGGTTTAATTCCAGGACCCTGAGATCATGACCTGAGCTGAAATCAAAGTTAGACGCTTAACCAACTGAGCCATCCAGGCACCCTAGCGCTCACACATTTCTATCTGTTTGAACCTTCATTTTTCTAAATATATTATTATATTTACATTATCCAAGTTTATAGCTTTCATATTCTGTTCTATAACTAAAAGTAACATGGGTTTTAAGTACTAGTTTTATATTTATATATATTTAAAGTGCCTCCTATTCCTCCTTTCTTGAGATTTATATATTGGTTCATTTTTAATTGGATGGATTTCATTGTTCAGTCATTTCTTTAAGAATAGTCATTTATGTGACAGTCCCCTGAAGGTTTCTTATTTTATGATAAAGAATGTTGAATGCCATTATACCTGGAAGATATATGGTGGATGATAATAGAGGTGTCACCCTTTTATTCAGAATATTGTAGACTTTCTTGCCCACTGTCTTCTGGTATAGAAGGCTGCCATCTTAAAATCTAGATTAATTTAATATTTTCTTTCACTCTTTTAGTTGATCCTCTCTTTCAACCTGGTCTTGTTAAGCTTTTCATTAAAGATCACATAACTAAGATATGCCTTGGTATTAAGTGCTTTCTCTTAAATGTCCCTAAAACATGTTATATTCTTTAAATATATGGGAAATTTTTTGTTATAATATTTGCTGCTGATAAGCTTGTTTTATTCTCTATCTCAATGATATCAAAGATTTTATGTTTGTTCATCTTTATCTTTCTTGTTCATTGCCTATTTTTCAGTTGCATTTTATCTGTGCTTTTTCAACTTCATTAATTACAGTTACCTCAAAATGTCCCTTTATGTCAGTAATTTGACTTCAGTGAGTGTCTGTTTTGTTTCTTACCTATTCTAATTGATTTATTAGTTCTTTAGAGATGCTGTTTGGTTTGCAGTTTGTATCCTTACATTTGCAACCTCCTGATTCTATTGTTTGTATTTTCATTGCCATTGAGTTATGTTAGCTTTTTCTGAATTCATTTTCTTACTCTACAGCATGAAATAATTTTGAGAAATTTCCTAGATTGGTATTCCATCTATCTTTGGCATACTATGTTTTTCACTTTTATTACTGCAATATATTTGCATAGTTACTCTTCCTTTTCTTTTCATTTACTCAGCCTTGAGGAAATGTGTATAGACAATTCATCACTTTAGAGAGGGATATTTCATAATTTTTGTCTCATCATATTGGGGGCCTTTTTTTTTTTTTTCTCCCTCTTAGCTCCAGTTTGGAAGTTGGATACATCATGAGTACCCACATTTTGTAACTTGAGAAAATGATGGGATTGAGGGAAGTTCAATGTTTATTAGAAGACTTAGGTACTTCTATTTTAAGGGTTTTATTTATTTGTTTGTTTGTTTGCTTATGTATTTCTAAGTGGTGTGTAGCAACATTATTGGTGGAGGAGTCATGGTTATACTTCCCTGGGGAGATATATTGTTTATTAGAGCTAGAAGTTTTACCAAGTGAGTGTTTACGCATGAAACTATTAGTCTGTACAATATAGTCAGCTTTACTATTTACACTTTCCTGTTTCACTCTCTGCTCACCATAAGCTCTGTCATTCCTCTTCTGGGTGAAGAGGAAAAAGATTAAAATATATTACATATGATTATAAAGATTAGAATACATTATATAAAATACATTATATAAATGTGCTTAACTTCAGAACTAGAGGTCGTTATGAGAGTTCTCAGCATTTTGTCATTTCACCAATAAATCTCACTGGAGGTGAGGATGAGATTAAGGAGTCAAAAATTCACTTCTGTGAGCAGGGCAAACTCTTCTTACTGTACCACTGTTGTGTTGTTTGCTTCTTTGTTTCAATTAAAGTCAATGGCTTTGGGATTTGTGCCTTTTCTTCTTCAGACATTGTTCATTTCTGTTGTTTACTTGTTGTTTATTTACATTTATAATTTCTTGCCCATTTCATTAGCTGTTGAAGTAAAAAGAGTCTGTATTGCATCTTCAGTCCATTCTTTCTCAACTAGCTTTTACAATAATACAAACACAAAAGACTGAATATTGCTATTTTACAGCTGAGAGTTAAGTAAATTGTCCACCATTATGTAGTGATAACTGACTAGGCTAGAATTAAAACCTATCTTCACTTCTAGGTTATTTATGGACTAAACTGAAATTATAATTGAAAATAAAGCTAACAAAATGATTTATTTTGCCTGGCTGCAAATATTTCTTCTTCAAGGTGATAGTTTTTTAAAAGAAGAGCCAATTTTCACTGGTTTTATTATTGTTTTTTTAAAGTCTTTATAGACCCTTTTATTACCTGTACCCTCAACATACAGCTCCTACTAGGTCCACTACCTGTCTTTGGTAGCTGACTGCACAGACAAGCCCAGAGTGAGTGAAACTTTACCAAATTCCAGCCATGTAATTTTCAGTGATATCAAAGCAGAAAAATCAAGGGAAGGGTATGGAACTGTCTCACACTGAAGAAGACTAAAAAGATACAGTTAAATGAAAACTGTGATTCTCGACTGGATCCTTTTTGCTATAAAAGATTTCATTAGGAAAATGTTGAAATGGGGCTCAATGTTTGTTTGTTTGTTTGTTTGTTTTTTAATTTGATGGTTTTACTGTGGTTATGTACAAGAATGTACATTTTAGAAAATATAAAAGTTTTTTGGGATGATGTGGCATTGGTTTGCAAAATTATTCTAAATGGTTCAGAAAAAATATTTCTTTGTTACTATTCTTACAAGATTTTCTATTTATTTGAGGTCATTTCAAAATAAAAGTTAAAAAATATGTATATTGTCTTGATATCGAATACAGAGTTGGATTCAAACCAGGATCAAATGTTTTCACATGGTGTTCACTCTTCTCTTTTCAGGTGCTGGTCTCTTGAGTCATCCTGTTTTTACCCAGGAGCCAGAAGATGTTATTTTTCCTTTGGATTTATCAAAATCTGAAATCATCCTGAATTGTGCTGCCAGTGGTTATCCTTCACCCCATTATAGGTAAAGTCCTAGCTCTGGGCACCACACTGTTTTTTTCCTTTGTCTTGGATATAAAATATACATACAATAAAGTGCTTAGACTTACCTGATTTGAAGGATGCAGCTCAGTCTGTGATTTTTTTTTACATAGATATACAGCTGGGTACCACCACTCAAATAAAGATGCATGCATTTTCAGTATCCTCAACTGTCCCTTCATGACACTTTCCAGGTGATAACTACTCTACCCCCCAGCCCAGGACTCTGTCTTATTCATTAGATGACTTAGAAGATTTATTCTTGAGATTAGTGTCATGGAGTGCCATGTTGTGGCTAGAGTTGAGAGAGGGGAAAAAAAAAGAGAGAGAGATAGAAGGATAAAGGAAGAAAGGAAAGGGGAAAAAAATGAGAAAAGAAATGGAACCCAAAGACAGAGGGAGAGAGGGAAGGGAAAAATAGGCAGGTAGAAAGAATCACAAGAAGATAGGAGGAAAGCAGGAAATAAAAAGAAATAGAAAGGAGAAAAAGCAAGGAAAAGAAAAGATTTGCTTCTTCAATTTGAAAGGCTCTGAAGTAGAAGCTGCCTTATTCCCCCAATTTGGGGCTACAGGCTCAGTTGTCCCATATACAGTGACTATGAAAATGTTCCCCTAAACAATTTTTATCAGACTTTTTTCAATTTTATAAATTTTCTTTTATCAGGTCAATTCCTGTGACTCCACTGACCAGTCACATTACCCAAAAAACACTGATTTTAGAAATACATGCTGAAGACAGCGATGCACCTCTAAGGCAGAAAAAGATGTTTTTTTCTGGGCAAGTAGAAAAAAATTGTATTTGTTTCTCACATATTACCTGTAGAATAATTAGAAAAAAGTCAGTGATGTTTTTCTTCTTACAAGGTTACAGTAAAAACAGAGGGGTGCCTGTGTGGCTCAGTAGGTGAAGTGTTGGACTCCTAATTTGCTCTGGTCATGATCTCAGGGTCATGAGATCAAGCCCCACATGGGTCCCCCCACTGAGCATGGAGACTGCTTAGGATTCTCTCTCCCTACCCCTCTGCCCTGCCCTTCTACCAAACATGCATACATGTGCACGTGCTCTCTCTCTCTCTCTCAAAAAAAAAAAAAAAGGCAGAATTAGATCCACATTGTGAATAGAATTCACAAAATTAAATATATATGTATATATATTATAAATATATGTTTATTTAAATATATAAATATAATATTTTAAATATATTTAAATATATAATATATATTAAATATAAATATGTATATACACACACACACCATGCTTGTGTAAATAATAAGGATATTTTGTTGGTAAGAACTGCATATGCTATGTGAATATCAGAAAAGACAATAAAAATTAAAATGACTATTATAGTTTTGTGTTCTAAAAGCATTTTTTCTGAAGTCTTAATTTTTAACACTGAAAGTAAATCAAAGCACATGGAAAGTAACAATTTCAGTCTATTTTAGCAAAAGAAATTGGTTTTGCCTACTTTTTTATGTTGCATTAGAAATATCATACTTATATGTATAATTACTTTGATCTTAAAATGTCTACTTAATTTAATAAATGGCTTAAATGCACAAAGTTAGAGACAACTCTCACCTTGTATTTTATTGTGCTTACCTTTGCATTTTTTTTTACAACAAAAGAAATGCAAAGCTATGTCTTCTCATTACTTACTAAAGCTTCCCTGTCTATAATATACCCAAATGAATGAAGCCCATCAGTTAGTTAAAGATCATTTACTTTATAAATTAGTTCTCTCAATTCAGGGTTTGTCTGTTTGTTTGTTTTCCTTAAACAGTAGTTGGTATTATTTAATTCAACATATGGTTGAATATATAAAAATCGGATTAATACATTTTTCACAGTTACTTAATACTTAAAATTGTAATTTTATTTTTGAGAGCTAATTTGAACATCACCATTGATAGGGTTTATTAGAGAAGAGGAAAAGTGTATCTGAATTCCTGTAAAATAGGAAATATTAGCTAAGTATAGATAAGATAAATCATCAGTCAATCATATAGTTATATAATTGGCTTATAACAGGCAGAAATATGTAAAGTAGTGGTTTTCATGACAATTTGCTCATTAGTTTTTACTTATGAAGAAATATTCTGAATGAAGAGACTGTATATTTCACTGTTGTTAAAGGGTTCTGTTTCTAAGAGACATAAATTAGTAGGCTAAAGACAGGTAATTTAGCTTCTTACTTTCAATCCCTTTAACCTGGTTTAGCTCATCTCTAATATTACAGCATAAAACACTCGTAGGCTAGAAGTTTTGGGAAAAGAGTGAAAAAAGAACTGTTTTTAATGCTTAAATGTCAGACTCAGACCTACTTTCCATGATAATAAAGCAAAGGGCAAAGATATTTCAGATAATGCACATTAGCAACAAAATGTGAAATTTTAGTTTTAATATGACCCTTTCTATCTTAAATTTTATTAAAGGGACTCACTCCTAATCTTAGATTGTGTGTGTGTGTGAGTGCACACATGTGTGTAATAGAGGGAAAATCGTTATGATAGACATTCTGATTTATTTGAGAGAATTTGAATATACTGTGAAGTCATATGAAAGAGCCCTTGATTAGAATGAAGAGTTATCCATTTCAAGTCACAGTTCTGATAGTTAATGTATGACTTTGGAACAATAATTTCTCTCTCCTGGCATCAACTTCCTTATCCATAAAGGAAGGATGTGGTTGATTTTAAGACATGTTTTCCTTCTTCTTTTTTTTTTAATATTGAGTATATTATTTCCAAAGTTAACACTTTTCTTTGACATAGTGTAATATCACTATTGTACTTAAAAATTTATCAATAATTCATTAATATTATCTAGTATTACCTAGTATTCAGCCTTCCCAGATGGGTTCATACATATTTTTTCTAGTTGGCTTATTCCAATCAATTTTTAAACTTTATTAAAAAAGATTTTATTTATTTATTTGCCAGAGAGAGAGCACGGGGTGTGGAGGGGTGAGTGACAAGAAGAGGGAGAAACAGGCTACCGGCTGAGCATGGAGCCCAGTGCAGGGCTCGATCCCAAGACCCTGGGATCATGACCTGAGATGAAGGCAGACATTTAACCAACTGAGCCACCCAAGCATCCCAAAATCAATTTTTAAATTAGGTTATCACAATGTCCAAAAAATAGCAAGGAAGATTTTGTGGCTGGAAAGAACTCAATACCAAGGTTCACAGTCTCACAGAGAGGGACAAAAGCAGAATCAGAATCAAAACATCAGTTCAACTAAGTGAGAAAAGGTGGTCACTGGTTAAGTGGATAAAATAAATAGTCTGTTGCTGGCTGGCAGAGATCCATAGACCTCTTTTTTAATTTTTTCTACTTTGTTTTATTATTTTTCCCCCATCCTCATGAAGTTTATATATTCATTTATTTATTGTTTTAATTAACATATAACATATTATTGGTTTCAGAGGCACAGGTCTGTGATTCATCAGTCTTATATAATACCCAGTGCTCATTACATCACATGCCCTCCTTAATGTCTAGCACCCAGTTACCCCATCCCTCCACCCCCACATGTTTTCCTTCTTTTAGTAATTTCTCCTTAGGAAAAGAAATATCATGAGGGAAAAGAAGCAATATCTAAAGCGTAACTTTGGAAATAGTTTAAAAGCAACCTGTCTTCCAGTCACTTACTTCCAGTGGAGTGAACACATTCACAAACAGGATTTTAGTGCAAGTGTGAAAGATATAGAAATGGGAGGCAAATGTGAATAAATCTTTCAATGGAAAGAATTGCTCCTAATTTTTTTAAAGACCAGGTAACACATGAGAATTAAAGAGGAAGCTTTGCAAGGGGAAGGAAAATGGGTTACCCAAAGTTGGTACATGGGTGGGATTGATTATACTTAAAAGTCTAATATAATCAAATGGCAGTGAGCTTATTCCAGCTCAGAATATTTATTTTATTTGGGAAAATGTAGCAACACACACATAATTGATTTCTGTGCTGGATATATTCTATGAGAAGAAAGTCTTTGAATGTCAGCTTTCTGACAGATCTCCTCTTGACCTGATCAGCACAGGAAGTTCCTTTCTCTAATTTAGTCTGCTCTACCTTAGTCATGAAGACATTCTTAAGTCTGAGAAGGTCTGGGCATCTTTGACTAAAAGTCATAGCAGTAGTCACTCTGCCCTTCTATTCTTTTCATTCATTTCCTCCTTTCATCTTCTTAACAACCCCAAGGGATAAAGCAGGATATATATTATTGTGCAAATAAATTGATAGCTATGACTTCTGGAGAAATTAGATGACTCATCCAGGGATACAAAGGAAGGGAATGTCAAAGCTAGGCCAAGGACTCTTTTCACAAGGGCAGTGATGTGAAATTTAGTACACATTACAATCACCCAGAGAGACTGTTACAAATTTAGATTTTTGGATGTCTCCTTCATAGGTTTAGGGATGGGCTCAGAAATAAGCACTTTTAACAAGCACTCACTATAATTCTAAAACAAGGCCTAGTTCTGAAACACACACACATACACACACACACACACACACACACACACATCATCTAATAACAACAAACATAGCCTCCAGCCATTATATTCTTGATACAGGGCTTAACTACTTAATATTGAAGGAGGTTCTCCAGAAAAAAGTCAAGATTTTAGTTCAAATTCATTATGTTTCCGGGAATTAATATGATATTAATGCAGATGCTGAAAATAATCATTTAAAACATATTTCCTACTTTGCATTGTAGGAAAATTCTCTTGGGTATGCAATCCTATCAGTAACGTGTTTATGACAATCACTTGAATTCATTAATACTATTTCTCCATTGATTTAAACATATTAATTAGGACAAAGCCCACACCAGGGGCTGAACCCCTGATCTATATGCACAGTTTAATAATCATTGTACCATAGTGATTAGAACGATTATGGGGATACTGTGAAAAATTCATTTGCTGTAGCTAAGCCAACAACTTTGAATTTGTGTTGAAAAACAATTACCGAGCTTAATTAGGAGCATGTAATGATGACAGCAGTTATTTCAGTGATTGATTCCAAAATTAAAGAGAGCTGGCAAACTAAGTGTGGTATATCCTTTGCTTTGAAAATGAAAGGGAACATGGAGGTCCAAAGATCATGCCCTGTAAGCAAATTGTGAAAGACAGCATTATGGAGCTGGTGAGAACAATATTAGAGTCTTGGGATAAGCCTAAAAAAGAAAATGTCTCTATTTTTTTTTCCTGCTAACACTGAGAACAAAAAAACTGTACAGATTTCTCTAGAAAAAAAATTTGACAAAGTTCAGGCAAATGAAATACACTGGTTTTAGCTGTTGTCTTTCAATTTCTCTTTATTAAATGGAAACTGAGGTACATAAGAACTGGCTAAACAATTTTAAAGTTGATTGAAAACCTCTGATTGATGTGATATTTGGTCAGTCACCTCTCATCTTTAATAGGGTGGAGAATTACCTAAGTTTGTATTTCTTTTCTACTATGGTAGACATTGGCCATACTCTCTACATTGGATTTTTCAAGATGTTCTTAAGAAATTCAATGACATTCAGAACAATATTGTAAGATGTAATTTCTTTTGTAGAGTTAACCACCTCATCAAAATATTTTTAATATGATATTAGCATGAAAGGGAGAAAATCACAGCAAAGCTGGCATAGATTCTGAAAACACATAGTTTGGAAATTAGCTATGTTCTATAAGGTAAAGCCTTTCATTTGTTTTTCTGAAAGTTAGAGGGTGAAAGGTGGGGGAAGTAGGTTTGGTTAGAGATAACTACTGGGTATTCGTTCATCTTAAAATGAGCAAATGGAATTTTATAAAACATCTTACAGTTCTTCAAAAATAAATATAACTGTAAGACCCTTCTGCTACTTAATTCATGTACTAAAAGATTGTTGACTAATAGGTAAGCCAAGCCTAAAATAAAAACCTCCCAAATTGCATTTGTTTTGTTAAAGTACAATTTTAGGTTGGCATCTCTAAGTACTGCTGAAATATATTCAGCGTGATTAATTTTCCAAATAAGAGATGAACAGAGACAATCATGTTCTAAAATAGGTTATTATTGTTTTGTTATCAACATCAAATTGGCGTTGGAAAATCTTTGCTGGCTTTCTTCATCCCATTTGTAATAAATGCTTCTTGGATTTCTATCTCTAAATCATTTTCAATGTCCAATTTTTTAGTATCAGTTGTGGAGGTTCAGGTATGGTATGTGTTATTTGATGAGTCACTGAAGTAATAGAATGGCCAGTATTATTCACTGAATCTTTCAGTTTTACTTCTCATGTCAAGAGTTATATTGCCTGTTTGTACACACTTAGTGAATGTTTATAATTCATAAAGAGTGGAAGATCTTTCAAGTAACCTAGTTATTAATATCACTGAACTCCTGAAGACAATCATCTTTGGTGAAACTGAAGAATTGTCTTCATGTGTAACCATGTTTGTTGTTTGTTGTTTTTTAAAATAGTCCTAGCAATTAAATATATACACACATATGTAAATGGTCCTAGCAGTCACAACCGCATGTTTTTTAAGACTAGGAGTGGTCAACTCTGTATATTATAACATGACTTAATTTTTTTCCCTTGAAGGTGGAAACAAAATGGCACAGATATTGATTTTACCATGAGTTATCACCACAGGTTGGATGGAGGCAGTTTGGCAATCAGTAGCCCCCATACAGATCAAGATATTGGCATGTACCAGTGCCTGGCCACCAACGCTCTGGGGACGATTCTGAGTCGGAAGGCAAAGCTCCAATTTGCATGTGAGTTTGTGGGGGAAAATCTAATCCCTGTGTATTTTTAATACAATATTTTTTATATTCATATTAGGAAAAAAAATCTGGCTTTCCTAATTATCTGTTCTTTGAGAGTGATTAATTTATGGAGGTAAAAAGTTTTAACTGCATTTTGTGAATTCAGACTCTTGGGGCTAGTCAAAATCCTCTTTAAAAAAGAAGGAAATATCAGTGTTATTTTATAAATTATGTTTAGAAACATCTCTAAAAGTTCCAGATATAAATATTAAGAAAAAGATATATGACATATTACTATTTTTCTTTCTTTCTTCTTCTTTTGAAAATGAAAGGGAACATGGAGGTCTTCTTCTTCTTCTTCTTCTTCTTCTTCTTCTTCTTCTTCTTCTTTTGCATTATATATTAGTGTTCAGAGCATGGGAAGAAAAAGCTAAGGGTAGAGATGTCTTTTGGGGGAGGTGGGTGTTCTCCCAGGAAAAGTGATTATGCACCCACAGTTTGATGTAGGTGGAAATAAAGTGGTTGCCAAAGGCAGGCTTTATATTAACTGTAACAGTGTCCAGCTGCATCACATAAATGTCATCCAGGCAATTACCTTGGTGACATTTGAGGGTATTAGCAGATGAACAATAGACATATTGCCTCTTATATCCTTTATGTGTAGTGTTTCCAGGGACTGAAATGTTTCATATTGGATCCAGGAATAGCCTTGATTGAAAGTAATTATATCTGTTGATGTAGATGGGAGAGAAGCCTTGAATTTTTCTCTTTTTCTTTTTTTCAATTTCTCTCTTTACACCTCCTCCCCCTACCCCTCCTTCATCCCGCCCACCTGAGAGGATATATCAGGAGGCCAAAGAGTTAGCAGCTAACCCTTTGGGTGCTCATGGAAAGGCACATTCTGCTGTTATTTTGAAAAAGTAGCTGTTTTGAAATTTGAAATATGTAATAAAATACATATCCAGATCCTATCTTGCAGAACTACTGTAGTCATCAGTAGATACACGAATTAATAATTAAGTTTGTCTCCCGTTGCAGGTCTTGTGTTCCAAAGATCCCTTGCTTCACATACAGTTCCCCTTATGTTGGCCATTTTAGGAATGGTCTTATTTCTGAATATGTGTGTGTGTATGCTCATGTGTGCATTATATAGGTATATACAAGCATTATATAGGTATATACATACACGTATATGTATGTGGTCATATATACACAGACACACATGTGTGTACACACATGCATTGCTAAATGTATCTGAAAGTGTTTATATATGTGGAAATAGAAAGTTAACACAGAATTTTATGGAGCTAAGTGGAATATGAACAAAGGCTGGTGGCGATTTTGAAACTTAAGATAAAGGTAATCACAATACTTGATTTCTGCATTTTGCCTAAGATCATCAGTTGGAAAAATAAAAGAGAACAAAATGCTGATCAGAAACTTATATTGTAGAAATAAATAATTGCTGTAGACACTTTGAATGATCCTGCCACAGTGATTATTTCTCCTGCTTGAATAGGATATGACTCTAGAACATACACATGACTTGGATCAGATTCCATAGGATCAATTGGACTTTCTGGTAGAGGAAAATTCATACAGCACAGTTATTTGTTTTACCTTGAGTGTCTCTAGAGCTATGGATTCTATCTATTCATGACAATAACTGAATACCTGTACCTGAAGTTAATGCGCTGTGCTTAACGAAACCATAGATTTCCTCTTCTCCTTCCCCTTTTTAAAGAAAAATGTGTTTTTAAATTCCCTACATTATTATTTCTTACCCTTCTTCCGTTTTAAAAAATATATGTAACTAGGGGCACCTGGGTGGCAGTTAAGCGTTCAACTCTTGGTTTTGGCTGGGGTCATGATCTCAGGGTGATGAGATAGAGCTCTGCGTTGGGCTCTGCACTCAGCATGGAGTCTGCTTGAGGTTCTCTCTCCCTCTCCTTCTGCCCCTCCCAGTTGTGCTTTCTTTCTCTCTCTCAAATAAATAAATCAATCTTCAAAAAAAAAAAAAAAATACATGTAACTAGGAGCCTCTCTATGTTATAATATGTCTGCTAAAAAAAAAAAAGAGAAAAAATTTATATTAAGAAGAAATTATATACTTTTATTTGGATGAGTGGGAGAAATCAGTTCTGGCCTATATCCATTAACTGATGTTTCTTCTGCAAACTTAAGGAAGGAATTTTTAGGTTCCATGTCTGAAATTTAGGGAAACAAAAACAAAAACCACACCATCCTGTCTCTCTGTCCAGAACCTGTTGTGGTGCCAATATGTCTGAAATGTTTCCTGCTGGGTCAAGGGAGAGATTTACTTGAGTGTAATTATGTATCTTCATTTGAACCACACTAAGCGTAACCAGCACATTTTCGTAATATAGAATTATTTCCCTCCATCTCCTGTGTCTTGTAAGTACCCTGTGAACTCACTTAAGTCAGTTGTTCATTCTGCATAGTAAAGTACAGCTTTAGAAAAGGTGAAAATGCCAGATTTAACTTTGCCACATAGTGTTGTATAGCTCTCTGCAGTTTCCTCAAGGTGGTTTACATGAGGATCTTAGAAATGAATCAAAAAAGTGTTGGTAACTTATGGCCCAGGAGCCTCTATTTACAAATCCTTTGTTCTAATCTCATTTTAAAATATAAGGTTTAGGTTTGTTTTTTTGCAATATAGATTTTCTGTAATTTCATCCAAAGAAATTACATTTGTATCCACATATAAATCTATAGACAATTTGAGAAATGTCTATTCTTAGAGAAGGAGAGAAAGGGAAGAGAGAGAGAGAGAGAGATAAGAGAAAAAATGGTAGAAGGGATATGCTTGGCCAAGAATAAGTTTTCCTATGAAAACACACTCAACATCACTAACCATTATGAAAATGTAAATCAGAACCAAAAGATACTGCTTCACACCCATTACGATGACTGTTATTAAAACACAAACACTCACTGGAAAAATAACATATATTTGCAAGGATGTGGAAAAATTGGAATGCTTGTGCTTTGGTGGTTGGAATGTAAAATGGTAGAGCTATTGTGAAAGACAGTATAACAGTTCCTCCAAAAAAATTTAACAGAATTACCACATAACACAGCAATTCCACTTCTGTATATGTACCTCAAAGAATTGAAGGCAGGACTCATACAGATATTTGCATACCCATTATTTACAGCAGCATTATTCTCAATAATTAAAAGGTAGAAACAACCCAAATGTCCATCAACATAAATAAAGAAAATGTAGTGTGTATGTGTGTGTGTGTGTGTGTGTGTGTGTGTGTGTATAGAATAGAATATTATCCAACTTTAATAAAAAGGAATAAAAGTCTGATACAACATGTATGAAACTTCACAACATCCTGCTAAATGAAACAAGCCAAAAACAAAAGGACAAATATTATATGATTTCACTTATCTGATGTAACTAGAAAAGCAAATTCATAGAGACAGATGGCAGAGCGGTGACTGCTAGGGACTGGGTGGAGGGAAGAATCCGGAGTTAGCGTTTAATTAATACAGAGTTTCAGTTTGAGATGATGAAAAGTTCTGGAGATGAATGGTGGTAATGATTACATAATCTGAGTGTTCCGTTCCACTAAATTGTACACTTTAAAATGTTTAAAATGGTAAATTTTATGTTATGTGTCTTTTATTACTATTTTTGAAAATAATATCATCAGAATTCAGTGGAATTTTTTCTCCATCATAATTCTTAAAAGAAGAAAAGAAAAAGAGAAGTTTTTCTTATTAAGTATCTGTTCTGATTCTTTTTACACAGCAAATAGAGTCTAAATGCTAGTCTCTAGCCAAATTGAAAGTTCTTAAAGTATTAAGACCTGTATCTTCAGTTTAATTTGAATTTCTCACCACCGCCTTCATAAATTTCCAACAATGCCCATTTTGGTACAAAAGGATTTTGGTAGGTTGTATAACGATGGTAGCTGAATACTAAGATTTTTGATACAGACAGATCTGACTTCAAATTCTATCTCTGTCAAATATCTAGTGGTAAAATCAGGCCACCTCTGAACAATAGTAAGCCTCTGTTCTGAAATGTATACAGTGGAAATTACAGCTTCAGCCACAAGATACAGACCTGGATTGCAAAGCCCTGGTACTTTATAGGCATTTGTGAAATGATAGCTCTAATTCTTCTGCTACCTTTAATTACCTCCCTCAATTTGACCATTTATATTTCACACTGCTATAGTTACTCATAGAAAAATCTGCTTTTTTTTTTTAAGATTTTATTTATTTATCAAACAGAGATCACAAATAGGCAGAGAGGCAGGCAGAGAGAGAGGGGGGGGGAAGCAGGCTCCCCGCCAAGCAGAGAGCCCGATGCAGGGCTCGATCCCAGGACTCTGGGATCATGACCTGAGCCGAAGGCAGAGGCTTTAACCAACTGAGCCACCCAGGCGCCCCTAGAAAAATCTTCTAACTTACATTTTAAAACTTCCTCTGGACTAGTTCCTTCTCTTGTTTTCAAGACTTTTAGGTGCTTTGACATATGTTAACTTTCTTGGGCCAGGCAACCAGCATAGCAGATAGATGCTATTGTTTTTCCTATTTTACAGATTAAAAGCCTGAGGCTCACTGAGATTGGGGCTTTTTAGAGGTCCGTTGTTAGAGAACCAAATGAAACTTGTGTATAAAAGTTGAGATTCCTGAGGGCACGCCTTTCATGTTACAGTATCCTTCCCAAACAGTCCCCACACAAAACCTGTGTGCTGCTTTTTTTAATTGAATTTGCCATTGGCATAGTAATTACCTAAATATTAAGCCATATCTCCAGGACAGTTAGCTTCACAATAAGCTTGGTGGTAGATGCTATTGAAACCCTGTCCAGATCCTATTTAATGGACAGTGTCCCCATCCTCAGCTTTTAATGACCACAGCTGCACCTGGTCTAGAGTTTATACCCCAGACTCCCTGTGGGATCAGGCTGAAGCCAGACAAGAGCTGAGAACCAACTCCTTCTTGCTTAGCTCCTTCCCAGGCTC